TTGTCTTTTAAAGAAACGGTGCTGTTTCATTAGTTAACTGTATATATTTAGTAGATAAGAGGCGGTAGACTTGTTAATGTACATGATTGTGTGCAGTTTTTAGACTTTCTTCTGTAGACAGGGTTGTTCTCTAGACGGTCTTTGTCTACGCGGAGCTCGCCAGACTCCGAGAATCAGGATTGTTTCAGGTCACCTGTCTCCCCCTCCCCACCCTGTGTAGTCTTATGCGAGTCGGCGCAGCCCCGCTTGTCCTGATCTCACCTTTTATCACCGGCAACCATCTTCATCAGTCAATGCTGATGGGGCCATTATCAGGACTGACTGGATGAATTAGATCATCGCACTGGTTTCTCTTGTACCTATCGCTCTGTTCAGCTGCTCGGGGCCCCTTGGCCCCTAATCACCGATCATTAGGAGTGCTATGTTTGTGACACTCTGTTCCTTTTTTCTGTCTGTGTGTGGGTGACCTGAGGGTTTCTCCTCATGTAGAGGGTCATTTCCTCTGCAGTCACCTGACCTACACTGTGTTCTGTGCACTAACACACCTGGACAGTCCTCTCTAATGTCCATTTCTGTTGGATCTTTTGCCTTTTAAAAATAATGCTAATTAATTAATGCTAATGCTAGTTTCTGGTTTTATTCGGAGTGTGACGGACTGTTTTCTTTGTTCTGCATGCTCTTTGATTGTCCAACTACTGGGTGTCTCTTTGTGACTTTTCCAGCCATACTTCTTTCCAGCTTTTCTGGAGATCATCCCAGAGCCTGTCTGGCAGTGTGTGAGTATGACTGGATCCTCCATGGTGCTTTTTGGCCAAGACCAGACGGACGACTAGCTGGAATTGCTAGACAGTCCCTCTGCGGTGCTAGACTGGTGTAGGCGACTGTTCCTTTGCCATGCGTCCAGCGCCCACGACAAGCTGGTTTGCTGTACTTCAGACACAGTTAAATTCTGAAACGTTAGTGTACGGAAAAATCAACCTCCTCGCTTGGCGTCGCTGAAACATCGGTGCAAAAAAAAATTACGACGCTGCGTAAGTGGTCTAGGAAAAGTAAACCTGGATCTCCTTTTGAGGAAGTAAAGGTCAAGAGGTTGTGAATCAGATGAGTGTGCCGGCCGGCCGGCTTGCTGCAGGACTGTAGGTGTAGCCTCGCCTCCTACTGAGGGCAAACTGTTTTGTTTGTGCTACTTTGGGACGCTGCGAGAGACCGTTGCTGTACACGGACTGTTGTTTGCCTTCTAGGTTGGACTATGCAGAACATGAGATGGTGCGTGGCGTCTGTTCAGTAGTGTGTTCTAGAACTGAGAGCTAACCTGCTGCTTGATAAGCACTGCCTTAGATAAGGAAGGAAGCGGTTCCAAAGTGTAACACTTGGCCTGTTCATATCAATATGGCGCTGTGTCAACGCTCTTCTCTCAGGTAACTGACTATAATCTGGGCTTGTTGTTTGAACCGGCGCAGTGATAAAGTAGCAGGGTGAGAAGAGAGGTGCGTAGAGAGATCAGCATAACAACAAAGTGCAGTTTTTAATAGAGCCTTTCCAGCTGGGTGAATGAGTTCACGTTCAACTCCGGCACCGTTCAGGGAACCCTGGGTTTGGAGTTCAAAACCGACAAATCAGGTCTCATTACCGTCACAAGCCCACCGGTAGTCGTCATCAGCCAATGACCTACATTCTCCGGTGTTACATCACCACCGTGCTACTGCAGTGTGTGTGTCACTGTACCAGACAACATCTCAGACTCTACCTATCACTATCTAATGGTGCTCCAGAAATAAAAAAAGTATAAAAAACATCTTAACCGAGGTGGCCAGTTTTAGGAAACACACTTGAACCAAGGCAGCCTCGCTTGTTTTAGCCATATCAGGAACTTCTGTCAGGAACGGGCCCAACACAGCCCAGTCTTAAGTCCCAACTTCTTTTCTTTCTGATTTCTACTGGTGTCTATATACCATGCCGAGCCTCTAGCCATCCCTTGACGTTAGCGAGGCAGGCAGACAGACAGGGTTCACCATTAATACATTCGATAAAGGGGAGTGTTAAACAGGACAGCCTGGAGAACGGGCGGGCATACGAGGGAGGGGGGGAGGGAGAGATCATCTGGAAGAGGAGAGAGGAAGTGGTGGCGCGGGAGAGGGCGGAGGTGCTGGAGAGACAGAGATCGGCAGAGTACATCGTGTGGAGGAAGAGAGAGGGCTTCCAGGAGAAGACAGGAGACAGAGACAAGGGAGGAAAGAGTGCAGAGAAAGTACCAGAAGTAATCTGGAAGAGGAGAGAAGACGAGGAAGAAGGAGACGCGGAGAGGGCCATTCAGAGAGGACATGAAATCATTTGGAGGAAGAGAGAGAGGGAGTAACAGATTTGAGGAAATAGGTGTTAAGAAAAGCGTGCTGCGTTGGATACTAGCCATACATCAGTAAGCGCTCTCTCTTCTTTAGCAGTTCTGGGCTTCATTGAGCTCTGCAGGTGCTCGCTGTAGGATCGACCAATTAGAGCTGTG